AATCCGGCCATTGTGATTTTACCGTTATGCCCTTCTTTTGCAATACAAAATTTCCTACACTTTTAAATTCCTGCCCTTTTAAATGATACAAAAATAGATATAGATAAATTTGGTATGAATTGGTATGAATTCCTTATCCCACTGTATACAGACATTTTTTTGGAATCATTATTTCAATCCAAGATTTAAGGAATTAACTCATAATTATAATTAATTGTGAATAAATATCGGTTTATACGTTTTATTAGTTTCGCCGATTATTTTTTCAAATTTGAAGTGGTATTGCATCGTTATTATTGACTGGAGGAAGTACATCACACTCTCGGTTTATAATTTCGTTGAATCTTACGGAGGATTCTGTTTGTAAGATACCGCTTGATAGTGAACTCGATAGATTAGTAAGAAAAAGCTCATTGATTATTTGGGATGAAGCACCTATGGTCCATAAGCATGCATTTGAAGCTTTAGATCGAGCTCTAAAAGATGTATGTAGGTTTGACAAGTCTAGCAACTCAAATCTTCCATTTGGAGGGAAAGCGATTGTTTTTAGAGGAGACTTCAGACAAATTCTACATGTTGTTCAAGGAGGTAGTAGACAAAACATCGTTAATGCTTCTTTAAGTTCTTCATATATATGGCAACAATGCAAAGTCTATAGATTAACGATAAACATGAGGCTAATTGTTGGAAGGGATCCATCTGATATTCGAGAAATAAAGGATTTTGCAAACTGGCTTTTGGACATAGGAGAAGGAAAAGTTGGTGGTTCGAACGATGGTGAAGCGATTATTGATGTTTCGGATGATATTCTCATTAATGATCCACATGATCCTATAGGCTCATTAATTGAGTTTGTATATCATTCAATTGTGAAAAACTTCAACGCTACATGTTATTTTCAAGAAAGAGCAATACCTGCTCTAAAAAATGAAGTTGTCCAACAAATAAATGATCGTTTGTTATCATTGTTTCCCGGAGACGAAGTGGAATATTTAAGTTCAGATAGTCTCTGCCAATCTGAGTTTGTTCATGATCAGTTTGATGTCAATTTATACTCTCCAGATGTTTTAAATGGTCTTAAAGTATCAGGTTTGCCAAATCACAAGTTAATTTTAAAGGTCAGTGTTCCAGTTATGTTACTGAGAAATATTGATCAGAAAAATGGCTTATGTAACGACACTAGACTACAAGTCAAATCTCTAGGAAAATGTGTTATTGAGGCAGTTATCATATCTTGAAGTAATATTGGAAACCGAACTTTAATTCCAAGAATTTCTTTAAGTCCTTCTGAAAAAAAATTCCCTTCAAATTTCAAAGAAGACAATTTCTATTGGTTGTATGTTTTGCAATGACAATTAATAAAAGTCAGAGGCAGTCGTTATTGAAGGTTGGTCTGTATCTCAAAGATCCTGTTTTTTCACATGGACAGTTGTATGTTGCCTTATCTAGAGTTCAAAGCAGAGAATGATTGAAATTGTTAATTTTTGACAAAGATGGTAGACTTACAAACAAAACTTCCAATGTTATGTATAAGGAAGTTTTTAGAAATTTATACATGATTCGTAGTTTTTAAAGTCAAACTATTGTGTTTTTATTTATTTATTTTTATTACATTTCTGTTATATATTTTTTTTTTATATATCAATGTCATTTATATTATTCACTGTGTTTCTCTTTAAACTCTATTGGAATTTATATTCTGTTTTATAAATCATTTACAATATACTCAAATTTATATTATGTTTTATAAATATATATTAATTTTAAATAATCAATACAAAAAATTTTAAACAAACTTAACTCTTATTTATAATATAAATGTTTTATAAATTTTTTACCAGTGGTTCTCACGGGTTGTAACCTACTATATATA